ATTGGGTATCAAAAACCCAACACACTTGTGGTTTTCCCAGTTGGTCATGTCATAGATAAGTGAACAATCTGTATTACTGAGAGTATATAGCAATTCTGAACAAGAAAATAGAAAGCAAGAATCTAATATATGCTTCACTCTCAATGCGAGAGCTACTATACTTGGAGCCGCTTACAATATGTTTATGAACTCTTGAATTTCTATTTTTTCACTATTATGATACACAAATTGAAGGCTTGCTCTAATGCTCTTTATATAGGAGGCAAATATTATGCCGATCTAATGCATATGCAAAATTTTCGAAGTATCCCGTAACACTTAAAATTTTTTTTGCATCACGGGTTCTATCCCACAAACCACCCCTCAACCTTAATGAGAAGGCCAAACTGCGATCGAGAGAAAAAGTGTACAATATATTAGGCTCCACAAATCCAACTGGTCTCACATCTATAAATAAAGAAAGATAGTCAATAGCTATCGTAAAACTTTGTCATATCTAATGTCTTAAATTTGGTTGGTAGGCCTTTTTCCCTCTGACGTTTCGTTACGCTTTAGTTGATCAGCATTTGGTTCAACCTTCATGAATCCATCTCGTGTAGTTTTCGACCTATTCTTTCTGATATGGTTCCCAGATCGTGGGTCACTTTGTCATTTTCCACTATTATCATTGTTCGTTTTCCCCAGCATTCATTCGTCTACCCATGTCTAATTGTGGATCATCATCATAAATTTGATCATACATTCCTCCTTACGATACCCAACATGAAAACATTGGAAGCAGTAATTAGGAGGATTTCATAGATTACAGTTTCCCAGAAATCATCTCTCTTTCATACTTGGATTCTTTTCGCCATAGGTTTCGTTAGATCAACCCCCACACAGAACCTTGCTTCGCTCGGCCTTGTTAGGATTGTTGGCTTCATCAAGTTTTAACAGCTTTCCAAATAACCTTTTTTTTTTTTTAAAGTAATCAAATATTTTATTAATCAATGCATGATACTCAGAAAGTGTATTATCAATTTAAATCAGAAAGTAACAAAATAAAATTATGCAACCCATCTATATGCCTGTAGCCGCAGCTTTAAATCAAGTATAAAACGTCAAATACAACAATTCCCTAATCTGCCGTGTTATCCGTGTTTGGTCTTCAAAACAGTGACAGTTTCTTTCTCTCCACACACACGCATCATACGTTGCAACCTGAAATAAGGTCTCATACAAGTTTGTTATCCTTATCTCGAAATTTTCTCCTCCATGTCTTTAACATGTCTTCCAAACGCCTCGACAACACCCAATCAATATATTGCGACCCCAAAATATCGTTCCACAGTAAACGAGCAGCATCACAATGAAGGAACAAGTGGCCATTTGTCTCCCAATCCATCTTACACATGTAGCACCACTCTGTAACATAGAAACTCCTTGTACGAAGGTTATCCACCGTTAAGACATGTCCTCTGACCACCATTTACACTAAAAATGCTACTCGTGGGGACAGTTTACATTTCCATATCATCTTCCAAGGGGATGAATGCTCTACAAGTCCCAATAAAGATCTAAAATAAGTGCGAACTGAAAAAATACCATTTCGTGTCAACTTCCACCTGCTACAATCATCATCTTCTGCCCTGATATGTACCTCGTATAAAGATGTCAAAAACAGCGCATAATTATCCAATTCCTAGTCTTGCAAACCTCGGCCAAAAACAATGTTCCAACTAGAGCTCCCATTATGAATATTTAAGACATCATTCACCATGGCAGACGGCTCCAACGCAATATGATACAAAGAAGGAAATATCACCTTAAGCGGTTGATCTCCACATCAACAATCATCCAAAAAACTGATGGTATTACCATTCCCCACTACAAACGTCAATCTATCCCGAAAGTCATTCCACCCTCGCCAGATATACCGCCACAAACTCACCCCCATAAGAACCACGTCTCTCACCTGAGCATCATTTTCCCTCCATTACACCATATTTTGTCCATATAATATCTAAGTGATGCGCGGACACAGTATCTGCGCGCAACGCGGAGACTTTTTTTTTTTCAATTAAGATGACAAAATTATTTATATAATTAAAAATTGTATTAACGAATAATAATTTGACACATAAGGTATACTACTTATTTTAAAAAGTACCATGTCAATCATGCATTAAATGTTCACTTCTTCCTGTAGGTGGGTAAATAAAATATTTATGAAATGTCAAGAAGTACACTTAAAATGTTAAGAACATTATAAAATGTAGAAAACTCTCATATTCATAACGAAATCTCGTTCTAAACAAATAAAGTGTCAAGCGTCAAGATAAACATGGTCCAAATGTCGATAACAACTTTTAAAATATCGAGAACGTCATAAAATGTTAAGAATAACAACTATTAAACACAATTTATCAACAAAAATAAGATTTCAAAGAAAAATTAACTTCTACCGATAATTTTGAAAAGCCTAACTGACTAAAAATTTGGATGAAATTAAATTTTTCGAAATGAAATTATATGATTTTCTTATTAATTGAAGCATATAATTATTTTTTACCGTTAATTACTTTTCTTCTTCATCTTTATTTTTTTCCCAAAATTCTTGATCAATACCTAATAGATAATAAAGGCAAATGAATCCATTAAGTATTAGCTAGCCTTAAATGTAATTTCTCATGAAAGCTACTTGTTCTTCTCGAAACTCGTGACAAATTGAAAAAAAAAAGTTGCTTCATTTTTCATTGAGGGTATAATCGACAATTTTGTACCATTTTTGCAAGAGTTTTCAAAATTGGACACTTTTCAATTGACAAGTATGGAATTAGCCATTTTTGTAAATTCTCCAAAATTATATAGTGGGACAGAGGCAGAAACCGAAGCAACAAGCTGAAGAAGTCCGGCAACAACTAGCAAAAAAAATTCAAATTTTTTGTACAATAATTCAACAGTAAACGTGCAAGAAATTTGATAATTAATCACGTCCCGTCAATTTGTTGATGACGTCTTCCACTTTTATTTGTTTAATTCCAACATCATGTTAGACTAAAGCAATTTTGTATCAGGATTTTCCATGAACCTTGTATCATGAATTTTTAACTTGTGACTTCATTTGTTTTTGACATTCAAAGCATGTTTTCAATTATTAAACAATTATGATGAGATTTATTTTCTCCAAAATTATTTGATCACTAATTATATGAATCTTGTGACTTATTTACTTTCGGGAGATTGAAAGTAGATTGAAAATAATTTGATATAGTCATAATTGTCGTAGAGCCTAATAGGGGATATAAATATACCACAATGTTTTACGCGATCTTTAAGTATTTATAAACATTTAATTCATTTTTAAATGTTTGCATCCGTCATAAAAATATAGTCTGGTCACATGTAAAAATATGTTTAATTCTACTCAAAACAGATTGTTAAACAAATTTGGAATACTGATCATCATAATTGAATCGTGTTGTCAAATTTATAAGTTTTGGGTTAAAGGGGATTGATATAAGAGGATTCGGAATCTTAGTAAGCTTCATCATCATATTTTTATAAAACTTTACATTTAATTTTAATAGTTAATTTAGGCGTTGCATTCCTAAGTAGATAATTAGATCATAACTTGATTATAAGAAAAATAAAAATTTTTATTGTTTCGGTTAAAGTTAAGTTAATTTGAATTTGAACTAGTACAGTTTCTGTGAAAACGATACTTGGACACTAAAATCAATTTTACTACTTTTTAACGAACCGTGCACTTGCAACATTTCAAACGAAACAAATATTTTTGTCACACCTTGAAAACTAGAGATGTCAAGCTCTTGACTTTTACATCTTCGCCTAAACTTAGATGACATGTCTAATGTTGATTCGAAATTTTATCCATCTTTAAAAAAACCGAAAGTTAAACGGAAAATAGTATATTATTAATTTGTTATTTGGATATCACACAGTAAAATGTTACATGCTACCAGCACACCAACACCAAATACATATCAAATAGTAAAATTATCTGAACTTTATTATTGCATAGCTTTGAAATTCACAACTATTACGATAAAGTTGCATCCCGCTGCTCAGTGCCAAGCAAAATATTCAACTGCAGTAACTCAGATCACTTAAGCCTGCAAAATAAAATAACACATTAATCTCGACGCCAGCTTCGACGACAGTTGTAGCCGTCGTAAAAAATATTCTATGATGATTTTTAACTATCGTGAAGAGAGGATCTTGGCATAATGGACCAGATCGGTGCATTATTATGTCAAAATCGTGCAAATTCGACGCATGAAATATGGAAGCCCTTCCCTTGCTGATATAAACTTTTACCTTATTTTACTTTCGGCATCAAAATTTGAGAGCATCAATGGGCCTCTTCCCTTGCTGAAATAACTGGAAATAATTACCAGTGTAATCTACTATACTTTTGTATAATTTGGGATTTTTCTCATCAATAAGCCCTTCAGCTGGTTTAACTTCACCGGTTGCGTCAGGAGCGAAGAAAACAGCAATTGTCATCCTCTCTCTTTCTCGATTTGTTGCAACCCTATGAATTGGGCTCTTGAATATGCCATTAGTCATTATCTGCAGGGATCATTAAAGGGATCGAATCATGGTCAAATTAGTAGTAAAAAAACAAAAAAATTGACGTGAAACGGTTGGTTCTTAGGTTATTTTTAGTTTTTCATTTTTGACCTACAACTAGTTCTATTTTTTTATGGTTGAACCGGCCAATTCGATCAAGTTTGATGATATTGGAAAAAAAGAGTGAATAGACAAGTTCTATAATATAATCTTGCATCTATATTAATATGTTTTATATACTGAATTGAACAAGATTAAAGAAACATCTCAAAAAATTATTGTCCCCCATTTTTTCGTAATGTAGTTTATGATTGAGATGTATTTAAATATTAAAATAAAATAAACATATTTTTAAACATTTTTGTGTAGTTTATGATTGAGATGTATTTAAATATTAAAATAAAATAAACATATTTTTAAATATTAAAATAAAATAAACATATTTTTAAACATTTTTGTCATTTGATCCGTCGTAGAAAGTCGCGATAGTGATTTTTTTAAGCTAACGTGAAAACATAGACTTGTTTACCTCGACTTGGTCGCCAACGTTAACAACAATAGCATTCGGAACAATCCGAACTTTATACCATTTATCATCTTTAAGGGCTTGAAGACCTTCAACTTCTTTATCTTGCAAGAGATAAGTCATTGCAGATGCATCTCCATGTGCTTTGGCAGCAAGAACGAGATCAGGTGTAGGGCATGGAGGATATAAGTTGAATCTTGCAAGAGCTATTGGATTCTCTCCACACTGTTTTAAGAAACAGTCTTCTTCCAAACCCAGTGATTTTGCCATGGCCTTGAACACAATTTCATTAACATTCTCTAATTTGGCTGTAAGATCTAGCAAAATTTGCCTACAAAATTTTAAAATGTAATTAAAAATAGTTAAACTAATAAAGGGCAAAAATTATCACAAGGGTTTAATTGAAGAATTATACTAAAAAGAGATAGGATGGCACAATTTTCAATAAAAAAAGTTGTAAATTGATTCTTACTTTTATTTACTTATTTTACTGAACATGAATTCTAATGATTCTTTTTCATTTTTGTTTCGAATTTAGTTTTCCACAAAGTAAGTCTTAAAGTAACTTTTAACCGTGCCTAAAGCATGTTTGCTTATGCTCACGAAGAATTAAAAGTTAATGTTAAATAACTTTTTATTAAGAAATTTGCTTATTTAAAAAGTAATTCTTACATTACTATTCAATTAGTAACTTAAATCAAGCCGTGAAAATCAATACAAGACTCTCTTAAATGCATGTTCGATACGTTAAAAAGATAGGGACAAATAGAGGTATTGACAAAATTTGTGCATTATTGCATGTCTAGTCTAGTTTGGTTTGGTCTGCTCAAGTGTACCTAACAGATCAATAATCTTGCAATATTTACCTAAAATTTGTAGGGTTTTCAGGCCACACTTTCATCTTCCTCTTGTTCTCAGGCTTCACATTGAGATACAATCTGTCATTCCAATCAAGTGTTTGGTTCTCAGAGTATACGGTGTCGTTTCCATAGCCATCAATATCATCAACATCTCTTGCATATTTCTTCTTCTCTTCCAATGGGAGTATGAAAAATTTCCTCGTCACATCATGTACTTCATCGATAAATGAAAGATGGAAGTTTGAAAAATTTCCTGGTCACATCATGCACTTCATCAAGAAATGAAGTATCTATCCCATGATTTATTGCCTGAAAAACCAAAATTTTGTGTTACGAATTTAAATTAAACATTTAAGAATTAATATCCTGTGCCCAAATAATAAAAAAGATCCAGAAGAAGTGTTCAAAGGCCATTTGGGTAGTAGACGCGAATATGGCCGGATGATCAAATTGTGTACGGACCTGAAAGTACCCACAGGAGCTAAAACCAATTCTTAGTTTTTTGAGTTCTTCTTCAGCTTCAGGTGTTGAAGAATTCAGAAGGCTGAGATCAAGAACTGGAATATCAAGATATGGAAGCTCAGAGGCGGAGCCTCCAAGGCCTTCTTTGCGGATATATTTCTCCGGCGGCGCACTAGTGCTTATGGCCAGTTCTTCGACTGCTTTGGCGAGTAAAGGGGCGGTGGCGGAAGCGACAGCAGCCATTTCCTTTCTTTTTTAATGGTGAAAATGGGTGAGTAATTGCAGACAACGAGACGGCATTAAAATAGGTATATTTCCACTGTATGGTGCCGAACAAAATGGGTTTTGCTTGGGCGTATAGACGGCGGTTCAACGGAACCTACACAGACACTCACACGGACCCACCTCAATAAAAAAATTACTCACACGGAATTCTTTAGCACCTGCTTGCGATTTTATTTTTTTAAACAGATTTTGTATTTACTAGATTTTTTGGCATCGATTTTGGATGGCTTAAAAATAACTCAAAATCGGTGTAGTGTGACTTTGAACGGTTCTCTCAACCCAACAAATTGACGAGTTTTAGCCGTTTCTCATATTCTATTTTAATTTTACCATTTATAAAATAATTATTTCCAACAAATATATTTTGTTCAAAACTAAATTTTAAACAAAAATATTTATCATTTAAAAAATAATATTATAATTACAAAAATACTTATAATTAAAAAATATTACTTGTAAGATAAGAAAAATTATATTATAATTTAAAATTACTTATAAGTAAAAAATCACATATGTAAATAAATTGTTATAAAATAAAAATACTACTAATAAGACAAATTTACTTATAAAAATATATAAAAAAGTTATTTATAAGTAAAAATATATATTTAAAGTTATTTCAAAGTATAAAATTAACTTATAATTGTAAAATTTACTTATAAGTAAAAAATACTAACTTAAAATTTTAATTAATTTTTTAAATTAATTATTAGCTTCTATGTAAAAAAAATTATCTATAAGTAAAATTTCACTTATGAGAAAAAAATTCTTATAAAAGAAAATTTCACTAAGGTACATATAATTTTATTCTTTTAAAAAACTTTTAAAACCGGTAAATAATAAACTCTTAGACATTAGTTGAAAAATTTTAAAAATCGTCACTAAAATATCGCGAAATTGATCCGCTCATAAACGTTCAAAATCGGTACTTTAAAAACGCTCTCCCAAGCAGGCCCTTCGTGTAAAGAAGATATTTTTTCGCAAAGATACAAAACTGAAACTTTTTAATCCAATTAAACGACGTTTTTATTTGTCAATCAAATAACAAGAAAGTTAATTTTTTTCATCAATAAGACATCATGAGCGAGTCATCCAATAATACATTAAGTCCTTGTTGGGTCCCAATTTTTTTTAAGAAAAATGCTACTTGTACATCAAAAAGTGTACATCAAGGTTTACATCNAATGCTACTTGTACATCAAAAAGTGTACATCAAGGTTTACATCTCCTCACATGGAGGGGTCCACTTGAATAAAATATTCAAGTGGACCCCTTATCCATGTGAGGGGGGTGTACACCGTGATGTACACCCCGATGTACTAGTAGCATTGCTCTTTTTTTAAATACTCTCACTTATTTTTAATTAAATATTTTTTAATAAAATAATATTATACGTAAATCCAAAAAAAATCTTTATTTTTAACAATATATTTTACATTAAATCACTATTCCAAAATATTTTTTTGATAAAAAAAAAAAAAATGAAGCTCAAACATTCATTAAATTAGTTAATTGACGTAAATCACGTCATGCCTAAAAAGTAGATAAAGTATGAACTTAAAATAACTTTTAAACGATGAAAATAAAGAAATGAGTTAATTCAACCCAATCACAATTTTATTCTTGATAATTAAAGACTGAGATTTTTAAACCCTTGACTTTCTTTTCATTTTTAAAGTCCAAACTCCAATTTCAAAGTTTGGACTATTCCATATTGAACAATTAAATGTCAAAATATCGACTAGTGACGCGTAATAATTTTCGTTTGAATAGATACATGCCGAAATTTCTAGACGTACATGATGTCACATTTGAAATTGTGAGTCATCAGTTTATTTCGTTAATGTTAATTTATTATTGTCGATTTTATTTATTTATTATTAATTTTTTTTCTAGTAATACCACAAGAACCACGGGTGTGAATTTTAAAATTGATGGAGGGGCTTGAAGATCTCCTTAGATGATGCTGGTGGCCAAATTATTTTGCACTAAACGAAATATTTCAAAATATGTTTTGACGGTCCAAACGGTGTGGACATACATAAAAAGAGGTTACTTTTTTTCTCTATACGAAGGTAATTTTGGACTTTTTAGTCCAAGTATCAAATTATTCAAAGTTTGTAATATTGTCTATAGTACATTAATCTAGATGTCTCTAATTTTAAAATGAGAAGGGTGGTGTAGAAATGATTCATTGCAATCAATAGTTAGTTTGAAAGTCATTAGAAATCGAAGAGATGCTATACTCAACGTATAATGACGAGAAGTATGATCAGAACAGATGAAGTGTAATTTCTCTAGGTTTAACGTTGTACTCGATATATCCGAGCATGATAAGTTTATTTTTATTTCTCAATTTCCTGGAGGTTAGACAAAGTCCCCTTCTAAATTTGTATTAATTTTATATTGCTTATTAATGAAACATGTCACTTATAGTGGTTTGAATTAAAAAAATAAACAAATAAATATCATGTTATCAACTTAACCAACAATGGATGATACACCGACAATATATTTTCATTAGAATAATAAAATCAGTAGCGACTGAAAAAATGATTCGCACATAAGAATAAGCTCAAAGTTTGAACTTTTTGCTATGATGATATAAAATTATACATGATGACTAGTGGCGCGTAATAATTTGATTTTGAGCAGGTACAAGATAAGGCTGAAAATTCCAATGGTGGCAGTGAATTAGCAGACGTACAAGATATCCCAACTTTAGTTTTATTTTTTATTATAAAAGAAAAGGGTGAAAATAAAGTTTTTAATATGTCTCATAGTCTTGAGTTTGAATATTTGGTCACCTAACCCCATGAGTTTCTTGAAGTTTGGCCTACACGAAATCAAATCATTTTAAACAAGTGGAAGTGTGCATGTTAGCAAACAATTATTTGGATGGTAGAAGTGTTAAAAAATAACTCCTCCTTTTTCTTTATGCTTTTATCCCTCTCGTATCTCCTCTTTTATCTGTGTTATTCACTTTGGAGCTAAGTTACATAAGTTTTCACTCCCTGTACCTTGTGCTGATCTCGAAAAGTAACCCAAACACGTGGCCAATAGGATATGACTTCCACGTAAGCTATTTCTTGTACATAGTAACACACTGTTAGTTGCTCGTGGTCTTTTTCGGTGTGGGTGGAAGAGACCGCGAGCACTCCGATGGTCAAGTTAGTGGGTTGATAAATTGGATTTCAGAGGTCCGGTGGTGATCGCTAGAACCTGGTTCTCAATGCAAAATGTGTGTATATATAAATATAAGGCAAAGATCATCTCATTCCTTTCTCTTCCCTGGATCCGTCCCTTTTTTTAATGTAGGTGTATGTGTTTATAATGAGAGGAGATAATAGAAGGACCGTTGGATGTTGAGCACGTGGCTTTGAATCTAAGGCTGACTATCCTTAGGTGTCTATCCGTCAATCCATAGGTGGACAATTTAATTAATACACACTAACATAGTAATTTATGACTTGATGTTTTGAGGTCTGCCATGCGTCCCATTAATCAGTCTCAAAGATTTAATTCTTGAGATCTCCCCATAAAAGATCTCCTAGTACATAGGGTTGAGGTGGAGCGGTTGCGACGGGAGTAGTAATCGTGTTTTGGGTTCCATTACTTCGGATGTAGTTTCAGTGAGCAAGATTTGATCAATCCGTTTGAGTTGTGACGAAATGATGCAGAGTGCGGGCCTTACCATCCATCGTGAGGTGGATGAATCCAGTTCGTCCGCCGCCACATGACAAAGTGACGTAGAGTGCGAGCCTTAGCATCTGGTGTGAGGCGGATGAATCCAGTCCGTCCATCAGGTTACGGATGAATTTTGTTCTTCCACCACATGGCTATGGATTCAGTTCGTCTGTCCCGTCATCGACACGTGGTGGATGATGCGAAAATCCGTAATAATTGTCCCTCAAGTCTACGTATGGATATTCATATAATGCGTAAACTTTTTTGATGTGACCATTTAAAATGAGTATTACTTTTGTGGGGTATAGGCCTCGGTGGTAGTTTCCTAGCAGGAAGATCGTCAACAGTTGCAACTTTCGGGGAAAGTTGTGGACAAGGTGAAGCCTTGAGTGATTGCAATTCTTAAAGAAAGTTGTAGCAAAAGTGAATTCCTAGCAAGATGATGAAGCCTTGAGGGTGCAACTTTTAAAGAAAGTAGTAGCAGAAGCGAAGTCCTAGCAGGAGGACAAAGCATTGAATGATTGCAACTTTTAAAGAAAATTGTAGCAGAAGCGATCTCCTAGCAGGAGGATGAAGCCTAAGTGATTGTAACTTTTAAAGAAAGCTGTAGCAAAAGCGAAGTCCCAGCAGGATGAAAAATCCATGAGTGATTGCAACTTTTAACGAAAGTTGTAGTAGAGGTGAAGTCCTAACAGGAGGACGAATCCCTGAGTGATTGCAACTTTTAAAGAAAGTGGTAGCAGAAGGGAAGTCCTAATAGGAGGACGAAACCCCGAATGATTGAAACTTTTAAAGAAAGTTGTAGGAGAAGCGAAGTCCTAGCAGGAGGACTAAGCCCTGAGTGATTGCAACTTTTAAAGAAAGTTATAGTAGAAACGAAGTCCTAGTAGGAGGACGAAGCCCTGATTGATTGCAACTTTTAAAGAAAGTTGTAGCATGGGCGAAGTCCTAAATGATTGGACAACCTAGGGTTGTGTGTTAATAATTTGAAAACCCTTGCGTTTTCTTAAGGCAATTTTGGTAAGCGTCGCTTGATTCCAAGATACGCTTCTCGGGTAATAAATGATAATCATGACAACGGCTGCGTGAGTTCGTTGCTACGCATTTTTGCATACTCGTAAGACAAACCGCTTCATCAAAGTTGTTCATCAAGCGACGTTTGAATTCAAATGTTCTGATGCGCCAAAAATAAGGATGATGAGGATGGGATCAGCATTCATCTTACATTTGTTTTCTGTTTCTTCGCAAAATATCCTCTCTGCAACTCTTCT